AGGGATCACAGGTGCTACAAACCGGTAGCCCTTCCGCTCAAGGTTTGGATCAAACCGAGCCGACCAATCAATTAACAACTGGAGACAACAAGGTCCTGATGGAGTCGTTCGGAGTCGTGGATCTTGTACCGTCGTAGTACGTCCTGGCTCGAGGTTTGAGTGGAGGTCAAACCGAGCAGGTGGTACGTACGCTGATGTTGACAGAGCTCGAGGTTCGTGACCCGCGGACAGATTGGCGGCCGTTTACTCACAAATGGAGCAGCGCCTTCTGAGCCGTTCCACCTCCTTTAGGGGTGGATCCACGAATGGAATCGGGTCAACCGAGCTCTGGAGGAGTCGTCCAGCCGCAGACTCTTGGCAGGCTCAAAAGCTTAGAGAAAGCTCCCAGCTCGAGCTGCTGAGTCGTGCAAGCGACTGACTGCCTCGGAGGAGTCGTCCGGTCGCAGGCTCTTGGCAGGCTCAAAAGCTTAGAGAGGGCTCCTAGCTCGAGCTGCTGAGTCGTGCAAGCGAAAGACTGCCTCTCTCGGACTGAAGACGGGGGTTTTTATACCGGGAAGGAGATCATAAAGTTGGGTCATTTGTGACCGTTGCAAAGAATTTGTCAACAAGAAAAGCGAGGGAGGGGGTAAGACATGCGGAGCACACGTGCGGATCACGTGATTGTTCCTTACATCGGACATTGGGCTCCATATATCCCTACATACAGTACCAGGAATCTGCCTGGTACTTTAAATTAAACGTTCCCCTTTTAAGAAGAGTAAGGAAGGCGATCTTACTTCCGTTTTTGCTACAATAATAATAAACTCCTTTGCATCGTTTTCCTCTTCTCGCACAGGTTGGCATTTTCTTACACTCGGTCGTGCACTGTCGTAGCGTGAAAGCTACTCGCGAGAGAGGCTTTTTTCTTCGGATTGAACATTTGCAAAGCCGACCCAGCAAACAATTTGAAACGCATAACATTGAATCAACATTGAATGAATGTTCGGAACGTTGATACAGCGTTGGTCCAACGTAGCCTTGTTTGCTGGGGAGTTTGAGCAAACACGACTTGGTGAATCTTGAGGCTGCGATCATCGCACGAGTTTTCGCGGAATTTCCCTCCCGCATTTGGATGTCGTAATGGCAGTTACACGCCTTCATTCTCAGCCAGTCATGAGACTTCGCCAAGAGTATCAGTTTCAGTCCCATACTAGCGTATATATCGATCGGATTTAAATGTATTATATGTATGCAGTGGCGTAGGGAAGGGGGGGGGGGGGGGGTTAGGGGGGAGGTATGGGGCATACAGTGGTGTAGGGAAGGGGGGGGTTTAGGGGGTCAGAACCCCCCCCCTTGGGCTTCCTGGTCAGTGACAGACAGGCATATTTCAGACTTCCTTGGGAATTCCAGTTTTAGCTATTCCCCTTCCGAGGAAAGTCCAATGTCCATCCACATACCCAAGATGCCAGACCATGATTTCTTCAAAAAGGTAAATTCCGGGTGGTGGAACTAAGCGTAGGGTTGGGGTGTCTACTTGGCCTCAACCCTTGCCGATTTTCTGCCTACGCCACTGGGGGCATAGAACGGCAAGTATGAGGGTTGACGTGCCAAAATCAACTGGTCGTGTAAATGGATGAGTCACGCACTTCGAGTGTCAAGAAAACCCCTTATCCATAAGAAGGAAGAATACTTGCTCAAAGATTACATTCTATCCATGGCTGCCAGAGGGGGAGATTTTTATTTCCTCTGGCTGGAGTACTTCGAATTTGGGTTGGGAAAAGAGAGAGTGTAGTCTAAAAACAAATTGCTGGAATTTAACTATTTCAGTCCTGGTGGGACTCGGAAGTTCCCACTTTTTTAAAAATATTTTATTGAAGGACTATATAGGAATGCACGACCTTGAGGCCTAGCGGGACTTGTGAGAGTCCCTGTGACCTCTTTTGGAATTTGTATGTTAATGTCGATGACATTTCATTGCGGACGGTTGACTGAAGAAAATTCGTTATGTCATGTATATTTCTTTGTCAAGACTGAAAGGGCTGAGCAAGCCAAGCGATGCTAGCAAGCTCTGCCCTTATCTCTTCCCCTTCCAATCGATCGTGTTGAAATTTGACCTCGTTCCTCAATTGTTCTTTAATGCAACCGCATTCTCTCCAGGTTGAAGTTAATCTGTTATAAATTTACTTTAAAAATCATTTACATCGAGAAGTTTTCATCCTATGCATGGATATTGAAATAACGAGAAAACTGATTTAAATTGGAGAATTTAAACACATACTTGAATGTACAAGAAAATGAAGCCATTCGAAAAAATGTTAGTGCTGCGTGCAGATTATGTGTATCACTCAGGTCTGGAAAATATATTTTTTTTTACATCCATCGTGATCTTTCATAGAATAATGAATTTGGGTTTTTCTTTCAAGTTTCAGCGTTTTTATTGCGAGTCAACAAGAGTATGAAGATATGCAGGATCCAGGGGCATAGGTGCAAAAGGCAATTATTTAGTCAGCCTCTTTATAGAGTTCGACTCGAGACGCACGAGTGTTCGGGTCTAGCCATGCTCCGTTCCACTTAATCCGTCAGCCTCTCATTCTAATCAAACTCACTTCTGCAATATCTCGGTTGTGATATTTTAGGGGCGTTTCATTATAGCAGCATTGCAAGCTGCAGAAAAGACGAAAACAACGAGATATGCAATTTGGTGATCCTCAAGGGAGGCGAGAGGTATCCTTCTCTTCGCCTCGCCTCACAATGCCATGCCGAAACCCGTTCGAGTTTCGTCGCTTTACCCTAACCATTACTCGCTGTTCTCTTTCCGACGACCGGATACTGATCCGGTCACTCGTTCTACCTTGGATCCCCTGCGCCTCCATTTTAGCCCGCAACCTCTCGTGAGGGACGGTATCGGAAGCTTTCGCGCGATCTTAAGTTGACGATGTCCACGGGATTCTCCTCGTGCCTCTGCACCGTCACCCGGTCGTAAAACTCGAGCGAGTCGGTCATGCGATCGCGTCGCCTCCCGAAGTCGTGCCGCGAGCCCCAGATGGGGCAATTTCCGAGAGTAATTCTAACGCGTGATCCCTACGGATGCTTTCCGTGATGTTCCTCAGAACATCCTTGAGACTCACCGACCTGTAATCATCCGGATCACTCTTTTCTCCTTTCTTAAAGATCGTTGCCGCATTTGCTCGTTTCCGGTCCCGAGGCATTTCTCTGTGCGAAAAGTTACTCTCGAATGTTATTCTTAACGGTGCCGATACTTCCCTCCCGAGTTCCTCGATGATACGAACCAGAATCCCTTCGGGGCCGATCGTCTTTCCTGCCTTCCACTTCTTCGTTCTACTCGTGATCTTTTCTTCAGTGATGGCGATCACTTCGATGCGCGCAGAGGTGACCTCCACCGACGCGGATTCGCTTTTGAACACGGAAGCGAAGAGCTCGTTCGGTATCCCGGCCGTGCTTCCATTACTTGAAATTAACTTCCTACTTGACGTCCTATTGGGGTCCGATCGAACGTTGCCTCCTGCCACTGGCACATCGATGAAAAGCCTGGGCTAGCCGTTCCTCGACCTTCCGTCTCTCCGACCTCGTTTTCCGCTTTGCTCTTGTAACAGTCCGATATTCCTCGTAGTCGGCTCCGTCGTCCGTGCGCCGATACGAATCCCGTTTCTGCTTCTTACCTCTGATCGGCGCCTTCATTTTAGTCGTAATGTAATGGCATGTGGCCAGTAGAGGGAAGAGTTGGATGGCATGAGAGGGCGAAAGAACACCAGGGAGCGGCCGGAAATCAAACCCAAGTCAGGTGTGCTACCACTACACCACCGAACCCAGGACATTAAGTCGTATCTCTCCGTGCCATCCCTAACGTTACAGTAAACCAGACCGGCTGTCTGAATGATAATTTCCTATAGTCATACGAATCCTCCGTTGCTTTTCATCCGTTTGATATCCCATGTGATCACGCGATGATCCGAGTCTCCCGATTTTCGTCTACTTTAACATCGAACATCAGATCGTCATCTGTTTCGAAAATTAAATTCAATAAAGCGGTATTTCTACTCGACCCTCAGCCTAGGCTTTCATCCACTTTCAATATCACCTTTTGCAAAGGAGCAATCATTGCCTTAAGTCTGTAGAAACTAGGAACTTTGGTCTATAGGTGCAATACGATGACTTCTGTGAGAATCCCCACTGTTGATGTTCATGAATGGGGCTCGTCTTCTCGTTAGTATTTTAGTCATCGTTCATAGTTTGAGAGTGTTCTCATACTTTTGTTCACATTGGGGTATTTGATTTGGGGTTTTGCAGACAGAACTGCTGGACAACTTTGGCTTGAACCTGCATCGCATTGAGAAGGATGTCCAACGCTGTGACCGCAACCATTGGTTCTTCACCCCTGACAACCTGGACAAGTTGCGGAACATCATGTGCACGTGAGTGTTTCCGACCGGGCACCGACGCGTACCTTGAGTAATTGAATGAACTCTGTTGTTTGTGAATTTGGGTAGGTTTGTGTGGGAGCACCTTGAAATGGGTTACATGCAAGGAATGTGTGACCTGGTTGCCCCACTTTTGGTGATTCTGCAGGATGAAGCTCTCACTTACTCGTGCTTTGGGCAACTCATGACACGCATGGCTGCAAACTTCCCTACTGGGGGTGCAATGGATACCCATTTCGCCAACATGAGGTCTTCTTCCCAATCCTTCCATTCTAAGAAATCCTTGGAATTTCCATGGGCCATTTCCAACATTCAACTCGGGAAATTCTATTCTTGACCCAGAGTTTTAAGTTACCATCACATCATCATGGTTTCCCCCTCCCTCCTACACCCTCAAATATTTTCACAGTAGGTTAGCCTTTGTTGCAGCTTCATGCTTTGCTGAGTAACAGGAAAGGGAGGAGTTTAAGAGTAAGAGTAGGCTTTCCCTCTAATCCTCATCCTTTGTAAAGATTGAGGTTGAATTTGGAAGAGATGATGGAATAAGTGAGATGGGCTGTTGCATCAGGTCATCAACATTGAGACTGGGATTGGCAACAGGAGGATGGGATGAGGCATTTGAGCTATGATGGAAAGTGTGTAGTCATGACATGCATGCATCTGAGAACTGTAACTTCTACTTGAAAAATTGTGACCTCATAATCCAGGACATTATTCCATCCATTAAACTCACATAGTGAAACCCAAGTTATGTGAAACAAATGGGTTTGTGGGAAAGTTCTGTTGTTTTTGTTTATGTACAATTGGACTCATCTCCCAAACACGAATACAGCTAGTGATGACATCATTTTATACTCTAATCCACAAATAAAAAAATTAAAAAAGGATGATTCATCACTAGGTTGTATTCGTGTTTGGGAGATAAGTACAATTGTACATGAGCAAAAACGACAGAAATTTCCACAAACCCAATATTTGACGACAAGGGGAAGAGCAAATGGGAAGCATGAGCAGAAGGAACAGCTGGTGCAGCTTTGAACCCCCAACACCTTCATGAGGAGGTCACAGCTTATGTGCAGGAATAGCATAAATGTGATGAATTCAGGTTGCATTAAAATTTTCACGAACCCTCATTTGGCAAAAAAGCTGCATATGTATGATTTGAGGAAAATTTTTAGCATATGGATGTAGCTTCCTAGGATTCATTGATTGGATTTGTCAAAAATACTATAGGTTCCTACAATATAGGGTGTCCTAAAAGTCGCTTTACTGAGATTATACTCACATTCCAGGGAAAAACTACTTTATTTACAACCAACCACCAGCAGAAAGTGACAACAAGGAGCTGTAGAAATTTTTCAAATTGTTGTCCATCATGTTCAATGCACATTTCACATCTGCAAATAAAAATCTGAACGCAAGTGAAAATAATCACTTTTTTAGGACTTTTAGGACACCCTGTATAGTTGACGTTAGGATTCATATCAAAGCGTTTGTTTGAAAACTTGTCTGGTATGGGTGTGTTTGCTTCTCAGATCCCTAATCCAGATACTGGATTCAGAGATGTTTGAACTAATGCACCAGAATGGAGACTACACACATTTCTACTTCTGCTACCGGTGGTTCTTACTTGACTTCAAGCGAGGTATGTTGTCAAAGTGCATGTAGTATTACAGTGAGTTTGAATTCTCAAAGCTTATATTTGCACTTGTCCTTGACACCTTGACAGAGTTGGTCTATGAGGACATCTTCAGCATGTGGGAATGCATCTGGGCAGCTGGGAAGGTGGCATCCCCACATTTTGTCCTCTTCATTGCCCTTGCCCTTGTCCAGTACTATAGGGACATCATCCTTGATAACAGCATGGATTTCACTGACATCATCAAGTTCTTCAATGGTCTGTCCTCAATCAATATCCATATCAGTTTTCAGATCCCATTTTTATTCATTGTAAGGAGGGCCGTTACACTGGCTTTTTAAAAATAAATTCCTGCATGAATCTTAGCTATTGATGGTACATTGATGCATCAGCTAAAGTACAAGCAAACTTTGATGTAATGTCACTGTTAGCCCTTGCCTATCTTGATGCTACAATGAGGGTGGTAATGTATTAAATCAACTGCAATATACCAGTTGCTACAGAATTTAAATTGCCCTAAGAAGGGCAAATTGGATGGCAAATTTGTCTCCTCACCCTTCACCTCTTCTGCTTCTCCTATAATTTCCCCAAGCACTATTCATTCCACAGGAGTAACAGTCTTGCTGCCATGTGATCAGGTAGGCAGTTGGAAGCAAATGCTTTGAGTACAGCACTGTAACAGGATTGCTTCCTTGATTGGAGCTAAAATCATGCAGAAAGAAGCATTTTTTTTTTTTTAAATGGTATTAGCAGATGGTAGCTTGTGAGGGTAGTGCCCTAACAAGGATTATAAGCTTGTGGGAAGGTTGTTCACAGGAAGTGGTTGGTGATGAGCCAGGGTGGTGATATTGTCAAGTGGCTGTATATTTTGAGTTATCTGTTTATAATCATTGATTGATGAGAAAAAAGGTGGAGAAAGAGATAATACAGGGTGTCTCAAAAAAATGTATGCACACTTGAATCAAGAGTATATATTAAATAATTCAGAGAGGGACGATGTTTAATGTGACATGTACAGTACCTAACAGATGACAATGTGTAATGAAATGATCACGTGTCATCAGGCAATTTTTTCCCACGAGGCAGTATGTCACGCCAGATGACACAAGCTCACTTGACCTTAGAGCAATGTAAGTTGATTTTTAAGTGATTCTGGAAATCTGAGAACACATGCGAAGTGCAAAGAAGGTGGAGAAATGAACTTGCAACTATGCCACCATGATGTACTAGAACTTTCAAGGATTCATGATAAGTTTGATGCTGATGGTACAGTGTATTGTCTCCCCGAACATTGCTAGTACGGTAATGCACAAACAATTTTCTGATAAACCTCACCAACAGTCAACTGTCAACAGTGCCTGGATGCTAACGGTGAACAATTTGAATATCTGTGGTAGTGAACCATGCAATTCAAACCCTTGCTTCTCCACACTCTGAACATTGTACCTCTTTGAATTACTTATCATATATGAGGGTGAATCAAAAAGTAAAGATACAAGCTTTATATATTTTTATTTTAAAGAATAAAATGAAAACAAATATTATTATTTTTCTATGTAATCACCGTCCCTCTCAATGCACTTGGTCCATCTCTCCACCAACTTTTGTATGCCTGTAGAAAAGGAGTTTTTGCTTGTGCCTTCAAAAAATCTTGCATGACTTTTTCGCTGCTTCTTCATTCGGAAAGTGTTTGCCTCTTAACTCATCCTTCATTGGTCCGAATAGAAAGTAGTCGCATGGTGACAAATCAGGGCTATAGGGTGGATGTTCCAATACCTCAAACTTTAATTCTTCTAGCGTCTGAGTTGTGTGCTGGGCAGCGTGAGGCCATGCATTGTCATGCAGTAAGATTACTCCTTCAGAGAGTCTTCCTCGCCTTTTGGATCGAATCGCTGGCTTCAGCTTGTCCCGTAAAATTTCACTGTATCAAGCACTGTTTACGGTTTCTCCTTCGGATGAAAATGAGTTAGCACAGACCCATTGGAATCCCAGAAGACAGTCAACATTAATTTACTGACACTTGGTTGAGTCTTGAATTTTTTGGGTTTCGGCGATTGCGGATGTTTCCATTCTATCGACTGTCTCTTGCTTTCTGGCTCAAAATGGTGAATCCATGTCTCATCACCAGTGATTATCCTCTAGAAATGCTTCTCCTTCATTTCTGTATTGCTCCATATGTCTCATACAGGCATGTTTACGCTTCATTTTGTGTTTTTCAGACAATTGTTTTGGCACCCATCTTGCACACACCTTATTGTATCCAAGGTCGTTGTGAATAATCAAATGAGCTATTCCATAACTAATGTCAAGTTCCAAAGCAATTTCAGCAGCAGTAATAATCTGTTGTTCTTGATCATGCCGTCAACACGTTCAATATTGTCTTCTGTCCTGGATGTCTGAGGCCGTCCTGAACGATCTTCGTCCATCAGACTTGTTTGTCCATTTCTGAAGTGATTTACCCACTTATTGACATTTTGGCGATTAAAACAACTCTCCCCGTATTATGCCAACATTCTTCTGTGAATCTCCGCTGAGGGTACTCCTTCAGCGTGCAAAAATTGTATTACCACTTGTTGTTCTTCTTTGGTGCAATCTGATAGAGGACCGGTCATTTTTTACGTGTGCACGTGACAAGATACTATAAAGTACTGGCTTCTATACACATGGATAATGACACCAGGGATGCAGCAAACAAGTTAAAACATGTTGTGCTTTGCTTGCTTGTCTATGCAAGAAATTACATTACTTGTATCTTTACTTTTTGATTCACCCTCGTATTTTTTTATTATTAAAGTGTGTATACATTTTTTGAGACACCCGTGTATTGCTATGGAAGAGGATGTCGGGCCAGGGTGTAGAGGCCTGCCTGATCCACTGTCTATTTTGTGCCCTGTGGTCTCATGCAGGGAGAGACCAGAAGTCAGAGCAAGTAGATATGAGAATAATCAAAAAGGACCACTTGAGTGCCTTCTGTCATATCAATGTACCCACCTTTTCCAGGCTCTATGATGGTCCCATTAATACAAATTATTTACCGACATGCTCATTTTTTATTGTGGCATTTTGTTTCAATCTGCCAATGCACAGTGAAGCTTAGTTTTTTTTGTGAAAGTGTGCATTAACCTCTTAACTGGGTTTGACTTTTTTTGACATCTGACCTCTCATAGGTCTCATAGGTATTTGGTAAAAAAAAAACTTCCCAGTCAAGGGGTTAATGTATCTTTACAGCCATAATAAAGTCTAATATTTTATGTTTTTGGTTTAGGAAAGGTCTTTGAATAATCTTTTAACCTCTCATGTGGGTGATATGTTACAGTTATCTGTCATTAGAGATTTTTCCATGAATGGGTAAGATGAAATAATTCCATCGTGAGATTCTCCTGCCTAAATTTATTTAAATCAATACCATTCAACTACAATAAAACATAAATGTTAACTGAAAAATTGTTAACATTTCAAAACTAGTCTACTTTATTGGAAAAAAACTCTAAATTGATGTTAAACCCATGAATCAAAAACTCCCAACTTTAAAGGTTAAAGACACATGAAAATTTTCATAAATACAGGAAAACAGGATTTTTATGCCATTGTTAAGTGAGATCATCCTATTCTTGACTTGAACAGAAATGGCCGAGCACCATGATGCCAAAGTGATCCTGCGTATGGCCCGAGATCTTGTGCTCCAATTGCAGACCCTCATTGACAATAAGTGAATGGGTAACCAACAGCATTTCTTTCTTCTCTTGGTGTTTTTTACTCCTATACAGGTTTGTTGTCTGTCAGACTTGTTACCTCTATGTGCACAACTGGTCAATAGTTTTGAAATATTTATTATTTGATTTTTTTTTAACTTCATGATGTTGCAACCTCCCATATATTTGTTGAGTTTTTCATTCCAATCTTGGTCTCCTGTTATATGTGAATCTCAGTGTGCTGACATGAAAGTAGTGGCCTGAAGCCATTGTGAGGAACTGTCTTATTATTTGCTTCTACATTGAATTTCATGCATTCTTCTCAAAGTATTTGAATTGCTTTGAGTTTCTGTTTTGTGACTCTCCTTGTTGTGCCCCTGGATCTTCCTTCCCATGCTCGTCAAGCTCCTCATGGTTGTGCTGACTTTTATTGAAATTTTTTGCAAGAAGTAGCTTGTTGCTGAATTTGGTGTGGCTCGGTGATATCAACCAATCTTCCCATTGTGAAAAGCACCTAGGTTTTGCTATCTTGGATTCTTCTCTCCCTGTTTTCCATGTTACTCTATTGTGTTGTTTGGAAATAAACAAGATATTTGATTGTTGGAGAACTTTTGAAACACTTTTGAATTAGTCAGACATCTGGGGAAACATCAGGTTCCCTTGCCAGGTTTGGCAGTCTTGAAAGCATACCATATGATGTAATTGATGAGATGAAGATTCAAGAGATTCAAGTATTGGAATGAAGATAAAAGAAAATTTGATAGTATAAGATTATGGATTTTGTCAGTTGATGTCAGGTCAGACCAATTCATCTCAAGTATCAATATATCAGGGTTATATCTTTTATATGTTGGAAACTACGCCCAGTTTCTCAATCTCTTGCATGTTTTTCATGCCTTTTCCACTGGTAATGTAACCCTTATAGTGCCTGAATCAATTATATCAACATTACAAATTTCGTTTAAAAGTGCCAGAGTCTGGGTATAAAAGCTAGATATAAAAGTATTATCATCATCATCATCATCATTTTGCCAGAGTGCTTGTGTTCATCCTTTCACTCAAACCCTTCTAGTGCCAGCTTTTTTACTTGTATTTTTAATTGAAATTAATAGCATCCATCTAATTGACTCTGGCTCTAAGAGGGTTAAAGAAAATGTTCTCAGCAATGTGTTGCAGAATTTTGCATATTTTGCTGGACCCAAGAGCACACACAGTTTATTTCCAAGTTTTCCTTTAGAAGTATATGTTAGAAAATTCCAAAATACATCTCAATTACAGTTGTCCAGGGAAGGGTGGGATTTCAATCTCATAATGAGCATCCATGCAAGGAATCTGGGAGAAATGGAATCATCTTTGTATACCTAATTTTAGCACATCAATGAAAGCACCTGGAAATTTGGGTTGGCATGCATTCTTTGCTATGTTGGCTCTCAGGTCCCAGATGTTTGATTATTTTTTTCTTTGAAGATGGAAGTTCCAAGATTGTCAAATTAGTTGACTGCAATGCCATGCATCATAACACTCTCACTCATTTTGGTGCTTTAATGTACATATCCCAGTATGCACAAAAACACCATTGCACCTGATTTGCAGAAGTATTGATAACTGTGCATGTATCATTGAGCCAATTTCTGTGCTCTTTAGGAGTGACTATCTTGAATTTGACAAATACTTGGCCTAGAGTTTTCTCATTTTCTCCTTGGCTGATGCAAGAGATATCAGAAAGTTTATTGACAGCCATGCCATATGAGGGGATGTAGGAATGGCTCAAGTTTTATGCTCCTGGGCTTCTCAATAAAGGCAATTTTTCCACAGTAACAATGCCTAAAATTTTTGTCTCTTTTTTTTATTCAGATGGCTTCATAAGATTTGAAGAAGAGGATTCAGCAATGATGGTTGATATAGCAAAAAGACCATATTGTCTCCTTTGGGTGGGATGATATGAAAACTTGACACTTTTCAAAACTGATGAAAATGAGTGGTGTTTGCTACATCAACTTTTGTGATGTGGCTTAAACCTCTTTTTTCTGATCCTATGAAGTATTTCCAATATCAATGAAGCAACAGTTTCAAGTATTTATTATTGTAGCAAAATGTTTCCTCTATTTAACACTTGGGGATTGGGCCAGCTTCATCATACCAATATGCCACACATGGCAAAGGTGATTTAAAAATTATACCTTTTCTTTTTTTTTTGGCTCCAGAGGAGACTTTGCAGGCTTAAAAAAATCCAAGATGGTCGCTCCTCACTCCTGTCTCACTCTCTATGCACAGCTTTTTATGCACTTGTTTCTGAACTTGCCAAGAAGTACAGGCTCTTATGACAATTTCCTGCCTGATGTGATTTTTGTTAGAGCTCTTTTTCTAAATGAGGGTTCTTTTTTATTATGAAATAGGGTGATTCATAAATAATATATTATCACCAGTATCATTTTCAAAAATATCAAAAGTACTATAAAAATGTGATATTGAGGTGTTCATTTGGTCAGATATTCACAACAGATTATTCATTGAGAAAGTGAAATGTAAATGGCAGTATTACTGCATGGAATAACAGCCAATTGTAGGTACAATATGATCTATGATTATATCAGTAGTACTGATGGATATGCATTCTGTGAAGCTTTTACTTAAGAATGTCATTCTCTCTTATTGTTAGCACTTGAGTTTTTGGGGAGTGTTGGAGAGGACTGTGCATGTATGACGTGAGATAGGCTATACAAGATTTGTGACCATTTGTGGAGATGTCATTGAAATGGGGGAAAGGAAAAAGAGCAGAGAAGGAGGAAGTGGAGGAAGAGCTTCTGGTGTTTGGATATGCTTGCAAGCTGTTCCGGGATGATGAGAAGGCTTTGCATATTGACCAGGGGAAGCACCTCATCCCTTGGATGGGAGATGAAACACTCAAGATTGACCGTTATGATGTTAGAGCTCCTCTTTGGGATCTCAAGAGCTGGGAGGCCCCCCCTGGTGGCTATGATCGATTCCAGTGCCTCACCCTTGAAGAAAGAAAGGTGGAGGAAATGTGTGATGAAGAACGTTACCTTGCCCTCAACCATGACATTGATGAGGAAACTTTCTTCCAAGGTAGGAGAAACTTAGTTATTACATCACAGTTCTTAACTCATGAAAACATCTTCCACCCTTGGAATGTGTTGGGTTCAGATGGCTTTTGATGGGAGGTGTTATGGTGAGTATGCTTTGGCAGGAAGCTGTGGGAGGAAAGCAAAAGTGTCAGCACATTTTTATTACATTTGTGGGAAATGCAGACATCATTGTTGGAGGCCAATCATGTGCTTTCTGCTGAGAATAAGAAAAAGAGGAGTGTACTCCTGAATCATCGTTTATTTACTGCCTTTTTTGTGCTTTTTCTGTTTCTTTGAGTTTGATCTCCCTGAAGTAAAAATAAAAGTGGTCCCCTGTAAGAGTAACAAAGTTAGGAATAAGGACATCCAAGCTCTCCTCCCTCCATCCTGGTTGCCATCCACTGGGTAACCAGCCACAAGATGCAGTTCCTTACCTTAAACCTGCCATAAATTGTTTTTCCTTCAAAGTTGACTTCATAGATATATGAAGGCCAGCCAAATTTGCCAAACTTTTGTGCTGATAAAAAGTTGTGAAAGAATGCTGAAAAGCATATGGTGAGAGAAAAGTGATCTTGATGCCCCAAAATTATTCTTTGAATAAATAATAAGTTACCTTCCATAGGGCTGTATCTGATATTTATAGTAACTGAACCAGCATTCAAATCCTGTAGTATGATCTGTAGCAAAATGCTGTAACTGTCGTTCTCCATTCTTCATACTAGAAAAAATGGGGGACAATTGATGTGAAGAACTGTTAGGAGATTGAGCTGCTCTCCTAATATTTTAAACTCAGCTGGATCAATTGAAGGGAGTGTATGTTTCATAATATCATCAGCATAAATTTCTTGTATTCACCATTGCATCCAAAGATTAGCAGGTCTTTTGTCAACATTACTTCAGGTGGAGAACCCATATTGTGTACCAAGAAAAAAATGTTGTGATGAGCCTTGCCTCCCCCAGTGATGTCAGCATTTTCTTTAGACACAGTTCTCTTGTTGCAATTTCCTATCCACTTATATTGAGCATTCTTCTACCACTCAATTATCTCATATATAGGGTGATTCAAAATAAATACTCCATCATTTTCTATGGGAGAAAGTAAGATTCGTATATTTGAGGAAAAATTATAAGATTCATAAACTCCTGATACTGGACATATACAAGGTGTTGAGAAGATGGTCTGGGTTTTTTTCAGAATAATTCTTTGAACTATGCATTGTCCCATTACAAAGCTTACAGGTGGATCATTACACCTCAAATGCAGTAATGGTCTATGTGCCATCATCTCAAAATTAAAAAAGAAAAGAGGAATTTGACCTGTTTGGGCCTTAAACCGATTTTGACAAAATTCATATTTTTTGATTGGCTTCAAGACCAAATCTTTTGAAAGGGCTCTCAGATAAAACTTATATTATTTGGCAGGGAGGCTCATGTAAGGCTCAAAAGATAAACCTTACAGGTTTTGTTTTCCTGCCTAAAAAGTCGCGTAGCACGAAGATACGAGGCCCTATGGTCAGCAACAGCGCCCTCTATCGGGATACAGTCCCATCTTGTGGATGTAAAAGCACCTCTTACTCTCATGAACCTCTCTGTCAAGTATCAGCTGCATCCAGCTGTCCCTTAAAAAGTTGTAGCCAATCAAATTAGGGTGGTGATATAGTTACTGTGTAGTCAGGAATTTAGCATCTGGGGGTTGGGGGCCATTTTGTACCCCATGATCCAATTAAAACTCACTTTTTTTGGCCTCTGCTTGAATTACTGACATATTTTTTTTTCTGTGGGTTGTTCTCAAAATGATCCAACCGCTTGCCAAGTTTAATTGAATTCTGAGATAGTTGAGCACAGATCATTACCTCACTTGAGGTGGAATGATCCACCTCTAAGCACCTTCAAATCACCTCTAAATGGGCATTGCATGACTTAGGGAGGGGTGCTGAAAAAAAAGCTGACATCTATCTCAACACCTTGTAACTGTCCAATGTCAATCGCTTAGCCAATGTACATTTTTTTTTGCACTTATGAAACTTAGTTTTTCCCATAGAAAATGGTAGAGGTTTTTTTTTTAATCACCCTATATTCCAAGGGTGGAACATGTTTTTAAGGTGTCATTTGATGTTGTGTCTGCGTGAATATGAATAATAGGTTTGTGCATAAGTTCATGAGATCAAGCCAAATATAGAGTTCTATTTAAAAGCTCTGGTACACATCACATGTTCAGATAGGGATCATTGACTTTGATGATTGGATGAGGATTGTTGGATAAGAGAAAATGTGTTTCTCTGATGAGTAATCATGGTTGAACACCCTTATGACTTGGCCTTCTCTACCCAATGTTTGGCGAATAGACTGAGGCTTGGAGTTTGTCCCTCATTAGATTATCCTTTTGTACAAAGGATTAATAATAATGAACACTTTGTTGGATGATTTCAAAGGTCTACTGTGTGACAGAGATTGTCATTAATGCTGTCCTTTGTTTTTTGCCAGAAAGGCAGGGTACAACTGAATCTTGAGTGTGAATAAGTCCTAACTTTTTCACATATTAGATCTTGAGTGCAGATAATCATTGCAAATGCCAATCTTACTGGAAATCATCTCTACCATTGGGTGAAAGGCATATTTGAATCTGATGAAGTGAGCCCAATCACAGAAATGAAGACCCTTTGAACCTGTGCTATTCCAGCTAGTACCTTCTCACCAATTACATTGTCTTTCAGGGCTTTGATAGTGAATATTGCTCTGTTATAAGGTCTCTTCTTATGTTCAAGTTCTTCAGATATTGAATACATTATGATGACACCAACTTTCAATCTCAGAAACGACAATAAACATTTTTCTGTTTAGCAGCATAAGTCTCAATGGCATAAAGTATCGAATAGGTAGAATACGAGTCAGAGGAAAATGTGAAACCATGATATAATGAAAGAAGGAAAGCTTTATAAAAAATCTGAAGGTTGAATATAGAAAACCTTCTAATGTTTCTACATTTTCCTCAATGTCTGGTGTACACGTCCACCCCCTTTCAAGTCCATTCCATTCCTTTCTCAATGGTTCATGTGGGAGATGGGGATATGAGGAGAAACCTACTTGTACAAAACTGAAATTAAAATTTGACTTTGCTGATGCCACAGCAAAATGAGTCTTGAAAGTTTAATTCATCCTCAACTGAGGATTTCTTTCATTGAATTGACAACATTCATGTAGGGATGGAAGTAGAGAGAAAAAGGGTGCATTTGCATCAATTGCATCTTTCTCAACATTCTGATGACTTCTTAACATATATGCATACAGTGGTGATGCAGTACAAATGAAAGAGGGTGGACTTACTGCTACTCTGCCTAAGTGGACATGGGCCATCTACAAAAAAATTTGGGTTTGAATGAGCTATTAATGGTGAAAATCAGTTGAGAAATGTTTGAGGAGTTTTTTGAATCAAGTCTGATATAACAGACATCTGCAAGATGTTACCTATGTAAATACCAGGCATGATTGGTTCAGATGTGCAAATTTCATCAAGTATAAATACAAATGCATGGCATGCAATATGACCTGGCATTGTGTCATATTTCCTAGTGCATGCTTTGACTTGAGTGCAAGTATACAAAAGAATACATATTTTTTGCAGAAGAGGAATTGAAGAGGTTGAAGGCAAGCTTGAATGCAGAAGAGGGGACATACAAGGAGGTTGGTTTCTCTTATGACAATGATGGAAATGGAACAGAGCCCCCAAAACAAGAGGAAGATATGGCATTACCTCAAGAGGAAGAGGCTGAGGATGATGATCAAGAGTTTTCTTCTCCCCCTGGCCTTCATCTTCCCAGTGACCTGATCCTAGTAAGATATCTGAAACCATTCAGATTATAGTAGTTCAAAACTAGCCATGGAGAAACATGGTCCCATTCCCCTGGGAACGACCCATTATGCAAAAAGGTAGCTATTTCTTTATCTATAGTTGAGGTCTGAAGTGGGATCCTATGCTTCACTGCTGATTGCTATCAATTAACCAATATTTGGAGGATAGTACAGAAAAACACATAAACCCCCTTCTCACTGTCATTGGCCTCTGCTTCATATTTTTATTGTCAGCTGCCAAATGTCACCCCAAAACATTCCACTGGAGGGACTCCACTCTTGTCCCTGAAAACAAGTCTCAGATACAGAGAATGACCTTTCCTATGAGAATTCCTTGTAGCGCATTCCTTTCCGCAACAGATTTCATTTAATCTTCTTTCCTTCTTATACTTTTCTGTGCTTTCTTTCATGGCAGCCTCGGATGATGAAGCAGCATCATGTGATTGAGAAGACAGCAGACTTTGTAGCACGTCATGGGTCTCAGATGGAGATCTTGGTGAGGGCAAAGCAAGCATCAAATCCTCATTTTGGATTTCTTGCATTTGATGATCCCCTCAATCCCTACTACCGCCATCTTCTTCATCTCATTCATGATGGACGATACATCCCCTTGCATCGGAGGCCTCCTGACCCAGGTGATATTTCACTTTGATATTCTCAATTTGAAACATCCCTAGGGTATAAAGTTCAATCTTTCAGGATTAGGAAATAGCAGATGGGGATAATGAGAGAATCAGTGATTGGGAAGGGTCCTTTGTAAAGTTTGCTTCCAGGTTACCCATCTGACCCTGAATTAAGCAATAATCTATGGAAGTCAGGAAATCAGACCCAAAGCTGACCATTGGAAACCATACCAAATCAGCATTCGCAGATCTCCTTGGGTTAATTTCATCTGTCCTGGGGGGTGACCTCTTTTGGTCTTGTGCTATGCATCGCAATATCAGCAAAACATTTGTTTAAAATCACTGAATCTTATTAAGACCCTGAAAAACAAATCCAAAAAGTTGCATTGGGATTAGGCAATATTTAATGCCACTTAGAACTGTTGGAGTGTCCCTCATAGCAATATATAATTTTATGCATTTTTATGGATGTTATAACATACCTAACAATTTTTTATCTGTGAATCCGATCTGATACTGAATCTGATTCCAAATCCAATTTTAAATGGAATTTTGAATTTGAATTGGGTTCAAATTTGATTTTGAGGCCATACTTTACTGTAGTAACATGATCCCCACCTGCTCCTTGATTTTATAAATGAGCAGGATACTAAAGTAGAGGATTTCTGATTTTGATTTCAAACCCAATTTTGTATCCTGACCATTACAAATCCAGTCAGTTTGGTTGCAAACATCCACCAATAAAAAGCACTTGTGTGACATGGATGCCATTACTCAACACACTATGGACACAATAACTATAACAATAACAATAAATTAATTTTTTTCCTACTCAGTTTCAGTCACTAGTTGGCACAGCATGAAAATCAATGCTGCGTGCTTGAGAAATTTTGCGTGGCGCTGAAGCAACATGTAAGTATCAAACATGAGGGGCAAGATATCTTGTCCCTCCCAGGGTATGTGTTAAGGTTTCAGTCCAAGCACTTGTCTCTGGCTCCTTTATCACTATCAGAGACCAATTTTGACCCACAAAGACTTGGAATTGACTCATTATTGACAGAATGTCTTTGAATGCTCTGCTCAGCTTTCAGTTGTAGTACCTGAAATGTTCTAGTTTAGAAACCTTCCTCAATGAAGTTGTACTTGCATTTTATCCAGCTGAGAATAACTTAATCATCTCAACGTTTCTTTGTCTCATACATGAATCATAACTGAATGCTGCAATGCAATTGCAGTCATATCCATCAAGATGGATAATTAGATATTTTGGATGGTATGCCATCCCTTTGAAAAATAAAATTTTTTTTCAATCAAATTGACTCATTAAACAGTGAAAGTCAAGCAGGACCACAAGCATGTGAGGGTTTGAGCAACATTACCATAAAATGACTGTAAATTGGATGACAGGCATTCATTCAAATGAGAATCCATGTATCCAAATGGCACCCCATTCACAAATCTGAAATGGAAAGAAAGACCCATGAAAGTTGCTTAAGGAATTTCTCAAAGATGTTATATTTCATTGATTTGTCCTCTTGTTTATTTTCAATCTCTAATCAGGAAGAAAAAATTATTTGAAGTTTACTTGTCTTAGAAGGGGAGGTAGAAAGAATCCTCAGCTCAATTCAGGATATCTACAATCAGGCAGTAATACTTTATATACCAAGAACACACTCTTCAAGAAACAACTCAATCTGAGAAAAGAGACAATAGGAACTAGAAATCTGTATGGTGACTATATTTTGTACTGCATATGGATTGAAATGTGCTTGATTTTCTAATAGAGCCAGAAGAGGATGGAGAAGGACATTACCTCCACCCAAGTCTTTCAGTTGTGAAACCAGAGCATGTAAGAACATTTTGAAGGTGCACAGTCATGAAAAGACAAATTGGACTGATTTTATTGAATTTCTCATCTAAAATGATGTGGTGGCATTAATTTGGGTGCTTAAAAATGGCCAAGTGGAACCAGATAGAGTGCTAACTGCATCATGGTATTAGCACATGTGCTATGTCAGTACCTCCATATCAAAGTGAGACTGCTCCAGAGGAATGCCATCACATCACTTGCATGAGATCACATAAAATAAGTTTAAATTGTAGTTCCATGGCTGTGCTTCTTTAATCCCCTCTCAAATAACTTTATTTCATGGATGAAATAGTGTATTTTGTAATCAGCCTTCTATAACTCAGTTGCTTATATTGGTATCTAGACTCCAAGTACAGGATACCTGCTGCCAGAGATCCCTTATCGTCCTTCAGCAGACAGTGCATATGCAAAACTGGTGAGCCGTCTGAAGGGAATTGCTCCTGTGTCTTCTGGGCAGACAGTGCTTTCTGCTGCCCTGCATCGTCTACCACTCATACAAGCTGAAGAAAACCAGATCCAGATGAAGAGGTTGGTTGTCCTTCCCACATCTGATGATCAAGTCATCATTGACAAGATGGCATCTTATGTGGCCAAGAACGGTCGAAGTTTCGAGTCCATCGTCAAGAACCGCAGTGAGTTTTTGATTGGCTTATTTTGCTAGTTGCCAGCCTCCTTTCATGGGCTTTCTTCCTTGAATTGCATATCCTGGTCTGAGATGGCCTAAGTAGACTATTAGCTGTCGCCATTCATGTATCTTTAGACAATTACAGGTATTGTTGCATGTTTAGTAATTTAATTGCTTTGTTTATGATTTGTAAACTTCACTCACGAATGCACTTTAGCTGGCTTATATCTGGGTCTCCCATGCATTTGTATATGAAGAAACAGTACTCAAGTAAATGTAAAAGCACATACTTCCTCATTTTTCTAATAGGACATTCCTTACAACATTTAAAATTTTCCATGAATTTGCAAGAGTCAGATAAATGTCATACAATGTGCCAAATTTTTTTTTTTTTTTTGCAGAGAAGGATACTAGTCTGTATAAAGTTGAGGAAATTCATTTTTCAGGGTGTGTAGCTTGAATATTCATTTAAACTCTGAGAGAGAGGTATGGTACTGCACTCAAACTCTATGGGGTGGGTCATGGCTATATGAAACCAACACAGTTCTATACCTGACCCCCTATGATTTTTATGAAATTCACTGGGTTTGTTAATCCATTGTGAAACTATTCAGCACCAAATTTCAGCTCACTAGGTCAAATACTTGTAGTGGCAACATGATTTTTTATTTGAATCTTGTCAATAGTGTTGGTTTCTGATCCATTGCTTGTGACTCAAGTACCCATTAGTTTTATCCTAATTTACTTTAAGAGATAAAATTGGTGTCATTTTGCAGCTCTTTTTCTACCCTTTCACCTTTGTGTTTCATGGAGGTACCTTATAAAGCATTTGGCTGAGGGAACTGAAATTTTATGCAGATTAGTTTTCCAATTAACTCTTCATCCCTATCAAATTTTATCAAAATTTGGAGGGTGTTGGGTGAATTGTATATTTTTTGTGGTTTGGTGATGATGTATTTACCCTGTGTTTTCTATCTGATGCAGATGACACTCGCTTTGCCTTCCTGGAGGAGACTCACCCACATCATGCTTACTATGAGCACAAGCTACATGTGTATTCAGGAGGGACACAGGGGACACCATTTCCAGAAGAGCCTAGAGTGGTCAGCAGTAGTGTGAGCCGGGAACTCTCCTCGGCCGAGCCCAGCCCTTCTGCCAGCCCCAAGACACGTAAGTTTCCCCTTTTTTCTACCATTCCTTTTTTCATTGGTGATTTTGATGTTTTGATTATTTCTACTTCCACCAAGTGACAAGTTGAATTGGTATTTTTGATGTGGGGAAGGGTGGGATCATGAGATTGATGGTGGCTACTGATCCGCTTGTGACTCTTGAGTGTCATTCCAGGTTTACTAGAGCGAGGTCCATGAGTAAAGCGATCTCTCAAGGCAGACACGGCATCTCGCTCCGTGTTTTTCTAAGGTTATCCTCACTCCTTCTCCACATTTTTTATCTGACAGACACAGACTCTTCTACATACGGTAGTCCTGGATCCTTCTTTCTCTTACTGAGACTGCCTCCTTGAATGATTGAGAAGTTGGGAGAGCGCTAAGGAGGATGAAAGAGAGTTGCATCTACAGCAAGTACAGACTTGTTAACACATTCCCAATGAATTGTTCCATATGTATTTTAGATATGTAAACTAGGTGCACATCTGACTGGGGCTATGTTCCAAAGTTATTAGGTGAAATGGCTGTAAAATGAATGAAAGAAAGGAAATACTGTTTTTCTGTATGAGCTGCATAATGAAATTTTATTTTGAATTCAAGGTATTGATTGCAAAATATGACATAAAATTGATCTATTGATTGTTGGCATTTATATGTGGATTCTGTGCCTTCACATACAATAATCTAGCATACTAGTAAATGCAAAGTGTTTTCTCCTCCCATTAGAATTTCACAAAGTCTTACTCATTCCAGGAGTGCAGTATTGCGTTCATTTTTAATGTTTTATGTTTGTGAAGGCTATGTGTCATCTGATGTCCTGACTCCCTGCCTGACCTTTTCCGTCATGGCACGCAGTTGGAAGGGCTCAAGTGAGAAGAGACATTAACATGTGTTTCTCTTTTCATGGGATTTGTTGCAGCAGCAGGGACAGTGAGCTTTCGTGTGAGGAGCCGAGACTCTGATCCAGGCCGTTGTCCACCACCCCGCCCACACCCACTCTTGGACCAGGGATCTTCATCCAGTGGGGATGAGGATGACTCATCCTCTCGTCCATCTAGTGAAGTCCCTTCTCCCATGCCCAAGGATGATTCTGATACAAAAGATGGTAAGTGAAGTTTTCCAGTCTTTTTCAGCCACAGTTGATGTTCAGTCAACTATGTCCCTTCTGGACTATGAACTATGTCTCTAACAATGTCCCTTCTGGACATATGCATGGTGTTCCAAAAGTAATATACAGGGTGTCTGAAAAGTCACTCCATTTTTAAATTGTTATTGCTCCTAAACTAATGGAGATATTAAAACATTTCTTTAACTGAATTGAGGCTTATTTATTACCGTTTACTTTATTATGAAATAAAAAGCTTTATTACAAAGTTAAAATTCAACATAGGCTCCAGCATTGTCTATGCACTTCTGTAACCTTACCAGTACATTTTCAACAGATTTTCTCAAGAAGTAAACCTGGTACATTACCAAGAACATCACAAATTTTGTTTTCAAGTTCATCAATGGTCCTTGGTTTGATTTGTAAACTTCTTCTTTGGCCCAGCCCCACAGAAAGAAGTCGCATGACATTAAATCTCGACTTCAAGCAGACCATTCCATTGACCCTCAATGACCTATTTAATTAAGTTGCTTGTTCTTCTATGCTTAATTTTTCAGCCATTATTCACCTTTAATAGAAATGGTAATGATTAAGCTAAAAAACAGTGAAAGAATGGTTGCCATATCTCCTTTAGTTTAGGAGCAATAACAATTTAAAAATAGGGAGTGACTTTTCTGACAAAAAACCACCTTGTATGTTAAAGTAGTTCCTCAATGTGCAGTGCAGGATTAAAATTAGTTCCCTATGACTTCATTTTCACACCAAGTATCCAAGGTTTTTTACTTGTCAATGCTCATTTTTTGTTTCATTAAATTTCCTTGTTTTTCCATGAGCACTGACATAAAGTATTGTACTTGCTGTGGAATGGCATTATTTGTGTTATTTTGAACAAATGTTCCAGAATCTGCCTACATGTGGTTTGTCCTAAAGTTGAGTATTATTTTCATTTCCCCATTCTGCTGCAGTTAAAAATGGGTGCAGTCTATTCATTTTGTATTCATAGTGCTGATTCAATCTCTTTTCACCCACTGAGTCCTTTTCTCCTATAGCAGATTTTATTCATCCTGCTTCCCATCCTCATCCATTGTGCTTCTTTTTTTTCTGATGCCCTGAATAGTTTCATTCTAGACACTGGGGTGAAGTTGATTCAGCTACTTGCAACCAAACTGTGGTCACCCTGATTGCATTGACTGATATGGCATTACATGGACAGTGGAAATGACATGGTAGCTTCTAGTGAATTTACTGCCATTACTTTTAACCCTTTCAGACCTGAATTAAGACCGCTATCGGAATAATATTATTTTTTTGCATTTTTTAGCTCTTTCGTGATTGTAATTGAAATTTTCATGCTTTATATGTAGTTTTTATATTTTGTATAGATGTACCATATCATACATTATATATTATACGTTTACTTAAATAACTGAAGATTACAAAACTAATGGGTGAAAGAAGGCCTCTGATGGAACTGAGCCATGCATGATTGTGCCCATTGTAGCATAATATGGAGTGCAAAGTCACGAGAATCCTAAGAAATTGCCATAGACACAATGTAAATGCAATGTCCTTTGGAATGGACACCAGGTCTGAAAGGGTTAATTGGGTGGTGTGGAATCCTACCATCTTGAATGTTGAAAACTTGTTTTACTGGACCACTGAGCTTTCCTTCAAATCAAGAATGATGTCTCAGTATAGGCTGATGAATTTATCTAGGTCTTTGTTGAGAGTTCAAGGTGCAACAAGTCCTATGATAGAGTTTTGCTTTAATGGCTAATACTATACTGGTATGTTTCCCCTTCATATGTAATAATGAAGGTGAGGAAGAGGAGCGGGCACGTGTGCGAGAACGTCTCCTTGTGGCTGCCCAGGAAAAGTGCCAGCGCTCTCGTCAGCTTCAGCTGGAGCGCAAGAGAAAGGCAGCAGCTTTCCTCACCAGAATTCAACAGGAACAGAAGCAACAGCATCTGGGGTCATCACAGGCATCACCTCAGAGGAAGGCAGGTCCATTGGTGTCCCAACCTGCAGATGATGTGGAAGAGATTCAGGAAGGTCTGTATGTCTTCATTGTTGATGGTATTGGATTAACAAATAAATTCAGCTCCTTTTATTTCTAAAAAAAAAAACATAAACCTCTTCTCACCCATTACAAATTATGCAAATTTTGTTCAATATTGGCTCTAGTTTCAGATATGGTTGCATACCAAAATTTTTTTTTACCTATCATTAAAGTTTCACTGAAAGAGTTTTTAACCCTTTCAGTGTGAGTTCTTTCTAACTTGAGTGGGCCTGCATGAGGGAGTTTTTTCAGCATGTTGTAAAAAAATTTGCAACAATATTCAGGTTCTGTGTTTCAGCATGAAATATCACAAATTTGTAGTAAAAAGATGGGTATATATCTTGGTAACATCCTCACACTAAGTAAAATCTCAAATCAAATCATTCATTAAAATCTGCTGAGCTGCCTGGGTCAGAACATATGTACTTGTCCATACTGCTCAAATGTAACTTATTTTGTTCAAGCTTCATGAGGGTCTCTGTTGTCCCATAGAGTTTTATGTACTTGTCTAAGTTTGCACAATATTCTTATTCTAAGACACTATCTTGCCATATAATGCTTACCATATTGAGACACTCTTGGGTCTCCCCAATAGCTTTTAATTATGTGCTGCAACACAAACAAGTCTTACTAATTCCATCCCTCACCATGCTACAAGATAGCATTAGTATGTATATTGTATTTCTTTATAATAGTATTTGTACCTTTGTGCCAATAATAGTCATATCATTACTTCTCTTTGGTTTATTGGGATGTAAAAGTAATCAGACTTTAATGAGTTAATTATTTACTCTTCTTTGAGTAGCTGCTTCACTCCTGCTTTGAGGTTCTTGATCCATCCTTGTGCAAAGAATTTCCCAAGTTTAGCAATACAAGTAGCTGAATTCAAAGTGTTCCTGTACTTTGGATGAAAGGCACTGTGTTGTTCTTTGTTTGTAAAGACAGTCAGATGTCAACCTTTATCTTACCTATGTCCAATATGTGTATTTCAGGTTGCAACCATTGTGACAATTTTTAATGGTGCTCATTGTGGTAACCACACTGTTTGACTCGATTGCCTTTTGGATATGCCTGATTGGAATTACAGAAACTAAAAGTTGTGAACATTTGTATTTTGTAGGAGGTTCAGAGGAGGGGATGTCAGAAAGAGAAGGAAAGAGAATGAGTGGATTAGGGAGAGAGACTCCTTCCCCAGATATTCCACCTCTCCAGCTCTCCTCTCCTGTTCCCTTGTCCAAGTCACAATGTCCCTCTTCTTCACCTGCTTCTCCCAGTTCATTCATGTGAGTTTCACATGTTTGTTTTAAAAAAAAAGAAAAAAAAAAGCTTTTTCCTCCTCTCAGGCATAGCACATATAATCTCTGAGAAAGCATTAGAGCTTGGAATAAATATAGCCATAAGCATAACCTCAGAAACATGTGCTGTCTCCAAAAGCTACTCTGGCATGCATGGCTGCAAGTTTGCTATTACTAGGCCTCTTTATTCTCATTATTGCCTCTTTGGCAATGAACCAATGCTAAGAACCAAGAGGAAGCCAAGGGTGTCTCCTGAAGGACCCCCCTAGTGACCAGGGAACTCAATTTTATATCCAAAATGGAAGCTCTGGAAGTCCACAGTTGTGTCCTTATACATACTGTGAAGATTGCCATCATTCTACTCAACTCCTATAAATTCCTTGAAATCAAGCCAAAATGCTATGCTAACAGGCTGAGGGATCACTGCTGAGATTATTCAAGTGCCCTTTTTATCAGGCTTGATCCAACTCAATTTTTAGGTGCTGCAGCACCTATCTATACTAAGGCCAGACATCCATCTGGAGCCATCCTTCTCCCCCCCCCCCCCCCCAAGATTAAAAAAAAAACTAATGTACCTCTTGAGCTCTTGGTTTCATCTATACACATGATGCAAGCTCTCTCCTTGTGCCTTGAGAAAAGAAATAGGAGAATCCTCATGGTGGCAAGCAATTTGTGTGAGGCTTCAGATAATATCTGAATTTGGTGTAAATGATTGGATGTATTCTAATTCAAACTGATATGTATTTCATGCCTATGCTTCCTTTGGATATGAAAGAGATTCTTGCTGGAATCCATGCAAATATGATTATTTTGCACAAAACTCCAACTATTAAAAAATTTTCTTTCCATGTGATGCCATTTCATATTTTTCTTATGTAAGGCCCATATTCTGTAAAGAAATACTACTGTCAAAAAAAAATTGCAGTAAATTTGTATTTTTTAATATTAATTTATATATATTTATGAAATTTCACAAGTATAATGCTGCATACATAAAACTAACCTGATGAAGCAGAAATCCAGAGGGGGAAAAAGGTAGAAATATGCCTCATCATTTGCCACACAAACCTTGTGAGACAAGTGGGAGATACGTTACTTCACCCAACTTTCAACTGCTTTTGTCAAAAGTCATGATGACTGCTACCATATGCAGTGTATCAATATATTTTCTGACATAAGTATTCTTTCTATGTGTTCCTTTTCATATTCTCTGCACCATGAAGCAGATCATAAGTATTTTACACCAGGGGAGGGAGAGAAGGGAAATTCACAGGCTTCACCCTCATCTGGATCCTGCTGCACTGCTCTAAAATTCAACATTGTCAATTCATCTCAGTTTATGAATGTTGGACAAGGATTTGCTTAAAATGGAAATCTTGTAATTATTATTTTTTCTTCATATTTTTACATGTTTAAAGAAGGCAGCAGCATATTTCCTTAGATTGGGAGACACAGAATAGGGTTGGCAAGATTTCATTCCAAAAGTAAGGGACACTCTTTTTACAACCTTGGTGTTAGTAAACATGAGTCTCATTTGATGACTGATGATTGAGTAAAGATGTGCCCAAAGGCATTGTCACATGGGCAATAAAAATAAAGCACATGTGACAATGCCTGACTTTGGGCACATCTTGCTGTTACTTGTAGCCTCTAACAGATTGTTTTTCTTGCAATACAAACTGATTGAATTGAAAGGCTGCAAGGCAGACTTGGCAATCTTGCAGAGAAAAACCATAATCAGGAAGAGTGTGCTTTGTACATGGGCCACTTTTCGAGAAGTCATGATGAGCTGTTTGGTTTATTGCAATGAACAGAAAAACTTATCTGCAGTGATAAAGGAACGTCTGCCTCATTCATGCTCTTATATGCAGATAACCAATCTTCCTTGCAGTCCCTCAACTCAGCATATCAAGGAGTTGTTCAGGAAAAATTATGAGTTCAGATTTGACCAGATTGTATAGGGAAATCAAATAGCACATCAAAGAACAATTTCTCTATGTTATGTGTTTGTTTTTTTAATTTAGCATTCATACTTTTTTTTTGAGAAAACAGGGTAATACCATGTAAGTTTTGACACCATGAGATGAATTGTTATAAAAGGAAGCATTCATGAGCTCACACTAAGAAACAGCTCCTCCTAGCAGTGAAGAACTGCTTCTGTGGGAAAGCTCATGAATGCTTGGTTATGTAATGATGTATGTTATAGTGTCCAAACTTAGGTACTATCCAAACTTAGATGGTTTTACCCTACCATTAACAGTGTCAGGCAGCAATAGCTTTAATGCAGTGAATAAATTATACCAACTCATTCCTGTGGATTTTCTTCACATGCAATGTCATTGCAGCCTTAAGAAATTTCTTCCCAAAATGGTAAACAGACATGAAAGAATCAATTGAAAAGTTTCCCCAGATAATTGATACAGTTCTGAGACAGGAAAGAACATAACAGTGTGACATAGGAATGTTTAAGCAATAGTAAATGTTTATTACCACCATGTTAATGCACAAAACTAATACTGGTTATCTTTTTCTCGTTCTTGCTCTCTTTTCGTGCTCTTGCTACTTTCTATCTATCCTGTGACATGTAAGTGTGCCATTGAGGTATGCCAAAGAAGGCTAACATACTCTTCATGTTCTTTCCTGTTTTACCTCAGTGGTTCATATACCTGCTATTAGCCTGATGTGAAATTATTTGAAATGGCAACACCCACTCTTTTCATAAATGCAGAAAGAGCTTTCTGGGAATTTCAGGGTTGTGAAGCAAGAGAGAAAGGAGTTACAGAAAGAAGTTGGAGGGGAGATAGGAGAAGGGGAGATGATGGACATTCAGCTGTCAGAGGTAGACCGCAGTAGCCTCAACCATGAAGAAAAGGAGGAGGAGAAGCCAAAGGAAAGGGAAAAGAAAGAAAGGGGGGGAAAGAGAAGAAGGGAGAAGACAGAAGAGATCAAGACAGAGGATGAAGAAGGAAAAAGTGGAAGAAAGGATTTTCAGCAATTCAATTTTCCAACCCCAGAGGATTTAGAGGAGGTATGACCCTCTCCCCATTCATTACGTATCTTCTGAAGGTGATATCCAAAAAGATGTTTCTGAGTGTCTCAAGCTAGCATTACTAAATTTGCCATCAAACTCAAGGTCATCATCTCTTATGTCATGTGTTGTGCTAACCTGGCCCTTTTTTTCTTATTCTCTTCTCGGAGTAATACAACCAAAGCCCTCAATTAGAAAGAAAGTCCCTGCATACTTTCATGGTGGTGCATATGGTTTTCTCATTAGGGTGAGGCAACAGAGAGTAGCTGTGAGTCTCCAGTCCAGTCACAAAGTGCGTCTAAGATGAAAAAAAGGAAGCATAGGACCCAATCCCACTCCCCATCCCATTTGCACTCCCATCGACACTGGAGTACTAAGAAGCGGAAAAAGAAGCACAAGCACCGCCGAGAGAGTGATGACAGGAAAAAGGCCTCAAGCAGCAAACGACAGAGACGATCCAGGGAGGAGAGAGGAGGAGACAGAGACAGATCTCGATCTCATCAGCATCGTCACCATCATCATCACCGGCATAAAGACAGGAAATGGCAGGAAAGCGAGAAGAAACGCAAGCCTCAGCCACTTCTTGACCTTTCACCCTATCGGTGAGGATATGGGTCATATTCCATGGTGTTGACCTGGATGGCCTTGGTTCCCTGGGTTGGGGGGACAGTGGGTGATACCTTTGTGGATAAGAGATAGCTTTGTATGTTATTGGCAAATAACATGTGCAAGGAACCTTTATGGTCACATGAAAAATAATACCACAGAAGGAAAAAAATTTAACAATAGAGTAAGATTATGATTTATCCATAAAACCTAGTGGTAACCGAAGGAATAAGATATACTCTGATGGTAGTGAGAGGGAGAAGACTGTGGAGCTGATGTCATCATCTTCATTGAGTGACCAAGAAAGTCTGACAGCTGCAAATCAAAGGCTCAAGAGCCCAGGTCAGGGTCACAAGGAACCCACTCCACCAGCCCAAGCCCACTCCACTCTTGCTCGCCTCAAACAGGTCCATTTCCTTTGTGTGTTCCCCCTATCTACTACTTTTTTATTTCTAGATGTTTAAAGAAAGTCAGTTATACAGCCTTTCTTTGGTCATTGGTCTTGAGCATTGGGCGTTAATCTTATGACCAATCAAAAGTGACACCAAGATCAATAAAGACCTTATTGGTCTTGATGCCACCTTTCAGAAGTGGATACACTCCTTGCAAGTGCATGCAGACAAAGGGGTGAACTTATGTCAAAAGTTGACTCAAAGGACAAAACTCTGTTCCAGGCAGTTTTCCTTCAATAAATTAACACTGTAAACTTATTGAATGCACCTCATGCCTTCTGCTGAGGAGTTGGCCTAAGATTCAATATCTTCCTGGAAGCCAAAAACATAATCATGAGTTTTAGAGGGGGTAGTTGCATTATAATCAAAGAATGATGCTCAAGAATGTGAAGAAAAATTACTATGGGGCAGTTGGTCATAAGTAGGAAGCAGATTTTTATGCATTTATAAGTTCAAAAATATGCACATGCATATGCTCTTAAAAATGCCAAAATATGCAAAAACATGTTTTTTTTTTATGCAGTGTTAATTTTTTGGAAGAAGTAACTACTATGAACATTTCATGCCTCTACTGGGTATAGTAGATCTATTGCTGTCACAACCAGCAGCAAAGCAGGAATTTGTCAATGGAGGGCTAAGGGAAACAAACGGGGGGGCCAGAATTTCCTAACTTCTCAGGAGTAGCAGATGGATTTAGGGCAGAGTTAGGGGGCTTCGCCACCCCAAACCCCTTTCATCGCTATGCTACTGGTCATAGCACATAACCGCTCAAAAATTTTCATTGGTAGCTCATAAAAAAACACATTCCTGGAAAACCCTTATTTTTCCCCCAAAAAAGGGCAAAATATCTAAATATGCACATGCTGAAAAAAATCTAAAAATATGCATTTTATGCATTTTTAAAATGGCAGAAATCACCTCCTCTACCAATAAGGCATGATTCTATCTGGATTGCATGTTCCTAGGAGGCTGCAGAAAAAAAGATGCATTTGCATAAAAATCCACTCCCTAGTCATAAGAATATCTTCCAAGTACAGTCAATCCTTGATATACTGCCACCCTCACTTATCGCCAACTCTTTCCTGAGAACAAATCTACCTCACAAGCTGATAATAAGCAATCCCCTGTTATAACCCCACTCTTGCAAGCCACCATCCACCAACACCTTTATTCTTACAAAGGTACTTTTTTCTAAGTAAATCCACCTTAATTTGTACCAAGTAGCATACTTTGTCACAAGACTTATCCAGTATATACATGACTAAATATTTGTTGCCAGCTGTCCACCCAATAAAAGTTTAACAGTTCAACTGTGAGAGGTAACTCATACCTGTGGAATGGATAATGCATAGGAAAAGTATGAAGCACTGGAGGGGACTAAGGGTGACAATATAAGCTTCACATTTGTTAAGTCAATTTCTTCAGAGATTTAGGTATCATAGCCAATACCATATACCACCACCCAAAGTCAGAGTTGATAAAACTAAGAGTGGTGATATGTCAAGAATCGATTGTATTTTTTTTAGGCTTAATCAATTTTCTCCATATCATTAAAAGTGCCTGGAAAAGCACTAAGAAAAATTAGGTTGTCAATGAATTGAAGTTATGTGGCAAAAATAATTTAAGGTCACTGCAAAGGTTTCACATGATTCAAAAGTTTTAGATGCTACATCTCAATTTTGGTTTGCCTGAAGACCATTAACCCATTGGTTTACAAAGCCAGTGATTCACTCACCAGAGTATTGAAGCCCATTCTTACTAAATTGGCAATCTGCCTTGTTTCTTTAAAAAGTTCATGCATTTCTCAAATATTCGCATATGTAGCAAACCCTTGCCATTCACAGATTCTTCATTTGCAGTTTTGGCTATTTGTGGGTAGCAGCACTACATATTCTTGGCTACCACAGTACACTGCAAAAGATGGTTATTTTTGTGTGTCGGAAACCTATCCCCCCTTTTCCCATAAGCCCTTAGTATCAGCATTCGTGGTTTCCCTGCTCGGGGGTGTCTCACAAATGTATCCCCCGTGAATGGTGAGGGCCTGCTGCAATCTTAAAGCTGAAGTTATGAAGTTAACAGAAACTGAAAATGTGACTACTGGAACAAACTCAAGATAAACAAACTGTGCTCTTCAACTTCCCCTTAGCAAAGCATGGGAATAAGCTGAAATGAGCAGGTCATTAACTGAGGAATGATTTCAAATGAGGCCAGTTTCAGTTTATCATAAAATCCCTAATAGGAATGGAGATTACCAGTGTTTTAAGTTTAACTCCAGTTTAGTTTCAGTTTATCTCCCATTAACAAGTAATCATTACACTTATCTGAAACAAAACTTAAATTAAATTGATACTGAAACTATAACTGATAGACATGAAATCACTGTGAGAACCTTGAATCCTTCATAATTAATAATAAATTAATGTAAGTTTGATTATTCTACTCCTTTTGTTGTTTTAGCCATCTCATATCAGTAACACTAAAGCCCGCCGCACACAAGGTGATTTTTGTTGTGCGACCGTCACTCCACACAATATTACTCAGTGTGTGGGGAAGCTGCAATGGTCGTACAACCATTGCATGACTGTCGCAGGATATTGCTCCCTGCTCATTTTTCCTGCGATAAATATTGCCATCACTTGACTATTGCCCTCCATGTGCGGGGATCCTGCAATGTTGCTGTGATGTAGGCAGGCCCTAATTCTAGCTTTGACCAATCACATTGCTTGCAGATTCCCCATGTGTACCCCCCAGGGGCACATGACTGTCGCAGATGAGCCCCCAGGGCTCATCTGTGACAGTTGAGCAACAAAAATTGCCTCATGTGTGGGGTCTCACCTGCGATGGTCACACGACAAAAATTGCTTCGTGTGCAGTGGGTTTAACAGAACTGGACTTTTTCTGATTGAATCAGGCTTGTAACCACCATAGTGGTAGCAATCAATGCTGCATCTCAAAGTAGCCAATTTCCCATGAATAAAACTGCAGGTATGACATGGACCACATTCCACCACAGTTCAAAGTTTTTTCTTCTTTTTTTCTTAATTGCCCATGTTATGATATTCAAAAAGCCTTTGACTGCTTATTTGAAGATATTTGAAATGATTTTATTTGTTTTTATTCATAGGATCTGAGGGCAAAGGTCCAGGCAATGCTGGAACCAACTACCATGACCTGATCCTTTCCATCACTGTCCTGCCTTTCTCAATCCATTGTGATGGCTTTTTTTCCTGTTGTAATGAAGCTGTATGATAGAGGATTTAGTACAGATTCACTGATACATTTGTTGGAACTGAAGAGGTTTGTTGACAGTTTTGTGTGGGGTTGACCTTATCTGAAGAGTCAAATCAGAGTAGTTGAGGTTTTTTTTTCCTCTTATGTCCACAATTTTTGGAAGTAGCCAGTCAACCCATAAACAATTCCTTCTCCAACTCATGTACAATGGGCTGCATCATGAAAACCTGGTCAAAAATTGATAATTTAAACAAGGCAATATATAGGGTGTTTGTATTTAAATGCAACGTAGGGGAACATTTTGCCCTCTAATTATGGAGTTCCATGCATGCCTCATGGCTCATCAGGTAGCAATATCTGTGAAGATAAACCAATCACTGGTGTTTCCTTGCAGGTATGCCACCCAGTGGGTCTTGTAACATTAGCCGAATTCCACATAAAGGCAGCAAAATATTTCCTATGTTGCATTTAAATACAAACACCCTGTATCCACACCCTTTTGAAATACTCATCCTTCTTTCACTGATCTCCAAGAAATGTTGGGCAAATTTCAAGGGAGTACACAGTAGCCTCTGTCAAACTTTGTAGAACACAAGTAGAAATGGTTCGAATTCAACACCTTAGATCCCTTATACTCTTCATAGCAGCACACAAGTTATTCTTTGAAGTCCCCCTGTCATTTTTTAGATATCCATACAGAATCAAATGAGGTGTTGCCTCAGGCATACTCTGGTGGAGTCCCAAAGCCTATGTACCCAGTGTGGCACATTGATAGCCTGCCCATTCCCAGCTGAAGCATTAGAGCTTGAAAAAGAAGATACATCGTGAGAATTCCAAATCAAATAATCTACTTCCTATCATTTATATGCCACTGTCTGTGTCTTTGACAGCTTCAAGATGAGCTGTATAAGATGGCAAGACACTTAAGTTTTGTGTCTTCTTCCATGTTCTTCCATACTGGTGATGCTATGTTTCCCAAGAGAGTTGATGTTGCTTGTCCTCAGTGTGCATGAGAGCTTCAACTCATTCTTTCTAATTAGCCCCAATGTTCTCAGTTACATTCAGGCCAGGGAAACTTCCAGTCCATTTTGTATTTCCAATGTAATAGTTTGAACTTTTTCACAGCACATGAATTGGAAATGAATTCAACTCTATTACCAGGTTCTCAAAATATATGTGATCAATGAATCTAATTTCTTTACTATCACTTGATGTCGTAAATGACAAAATGGGAATGATTTAAATCAAAATCAGTTGAGGATTCCAAAAATATATTTTTTTTCCTAGCTCTTACAGTTTATTCGTATTCTATTCGTATGTGACATTCTGTGTGACTTGGTGATGGTAATCTCCTGACTATACCATGAGACACTTCTGCACAGAATGGCAAGAGGAGATACTGTATTTATAATACAGTAACGCTTTTGCCAATTTGGACCATAGTGTCAGGTTTCCTCCCCTTTTATTGTGTAGTGTAGATCTGACAATCTCTTGAAGACCTGAATCTAAGAACAAAAAAATATCTCCAGCAGCATAGCATTTTGGGGGGGGGGGGGAAGGGGGATGTGCTTCCCCACTTTCTAAAAAAGAAGAGAATGACTTGAAATGCATGAGAACAGTGTCCCAGAGTCCCCTTCCCTCCACTGGTTCCAATAGACTTTGCTTCTGCATTAGATTCCAGACTTTCCAATCTGATTGGTCTTCCTCATCTGTCTAACCTCTGCCTGGGTCACCTCTACCATTGCTGCTTGTCTGCTTCTATTATCCAATAAAAAATGTTTTACATTCCACAATGGAATCTTGGGACCTGATCATCACATACAGTAATCTTTGTATCGAATGTTCCATGTGCTGCTGAGTAAATGAGCTGAAAAGTGACTCTGCCCTTCAACTTCAATCTCAACAATAGAACATCAATTTGTGAGGTGGTTGAGAATCCCAAGAAACCATGTTTGAACACTTACTAAGAAAAATCACACACTTGTCATAGATGCATCTCCCTGAAGCCGGTTAGCCTGGCTAGGCACTAGTATGGATTATTCTGTGATTTTATCATTGAGCATTCAATGCCTTGTCAGCAGCAATAATATCGACATGAAAATCAACATGACCTTATTTCCTAATCCTATAAAATAGATTCACAGAAAAAGTAGTTTCCTGCTGGAAAGCTATGTTCTTTCACAGTCTTCTTTACATCAGTCAAATTTTCTTGGGGATTTCAACATCATCTTTCCAAATGTAGTAGAGATAGCTGAATAATGCAAGTTGCATTATTCAGCATATTCATAAATTTCCTTTTCATTCATTGCAAGTGTATTGGTGTTCCTTAAAGGAACAGATCCAGGTGGTTTTCTGGTTGATCAAATAGGAACCATCCATGCACAGTTGCTATCATTTATGTGAGATTACATGGTAATGTACTGGATGTAGCTGAAAATGATCAATTTACTGAATCTCATCCAAATGATATAATCCTGTTACCTGTTGGAGTCATGGACCCAAGTGAATTTATAGACACCATGCACTCATTGACTGAATTATCACTGGAAGTCATCATTTATTTCCTCTCTTTCAAGTTGGAAGGACGGTTATCATAAAACGATACCCTGGGCAAGAAAGGACAAAAGACTGAACGAAAGAAAAGATGAACAAGAAAGACAGGGATCAGAAGGTTCGGCCTAGGAAGATGTGCCTTGTGTCCACCTCCAAATTTGGGACTTCCAGGAACCCCAACTTATTGTAGAAGCTCAAGAAGTACTGCTCAGTGGAGCGGACCATCGTAAAGGCACCGAACGACCCAAATGTACGCAGTGCCGACAGCACACATGTCATCAGGCGCTTGGGGATGCTGGGATCTGTCACTGACGTGAGCAGACCCACTCTAATCACAGATGCATGGTGTGTCAGTAGTGCTGGTGGGAGTTCTGGCAGATCTGAATGGAGCTGAATCAATGCTTCCTCCAGAGGAGACACCATGTCATCTGGAGACTGCTTTTCTGGTTTGGAATATCGTGAGCGAAGTTCCGGAAACCATACATTTTTCAGATGTGAATGAAACTTGTCTGCTCTGAGCACAGCAACTCCATAACCAACAACAGCATCGGTCTCATCATAGACAACAAAACATGTCTCTGGGGAAAAGGCCAGAAATGCTCCAATCAACTTCTCAGGCATCATGTTGGGCATCTCCTCAAATTCAGGTGGTAGCTCCATGCCATCATTGCATGTCTTTCGACAAACAGCATAAGCAGCAGGTTCATCATGAGACTCATATGGCCGGATGAAGAATAGATGTGGCTCAGGAAAATCTGGTCCACGATACAAGAACAAGTCATTAGGGGAATCAACAGGGATGAGCCGCTGAAGGTCAGCAGTCAATCCCCCTCTGAACACCCACGGTTCCTGATCCCCACTCATGAATGCCTCTTTCCAGCCTTTAGCAAACCAAGTGTGCACACCAGTGACATAACTTGTGTAATTCTCTGGTAGCTTCACATATCCCAGCCACTTGATATAGGTATTGAGGAGGGAAATCACACCCCGAATGTCCCAGATATATGGATACATATCATATAGGAGAGACCGGTTGGGAATGCTGACGAGATGGTGAAGAAAGTTTTCCACATGTCGAACCTTGGCATCAAATTTTGCTGCACGGCGGTACCACTCCTCGGCATCTGTCAAGATCTCGTCTGCACCAGGTTGCTGTGATGTCAGACTTGCATTCATCTTGAGCCAATGGAATTCATTCAGTAGGGCCAGACCTTGAATGCCATGCTCAAATGGAAGGTAGAACAAATCAGCAAGGAGAGTCAGATCTTCAAATACAATATCACACTTGCTCTCATCCTCTACCACCATCTCCTGATCCTCCTTATTTGCTACCATGTCTGCATCCTCCTTTTCTAATATGTCACTTGCCTTGTCTGACTCCATAGGTTCATCACTTCCATCTTCCTTCACTGAATGTGTCAAATTCTTGACAACTACTACTTTGTCATCTGCTGCCAAGGAATTCATCATAGGGACACTTAAAACTGGTTGCAATATAGATGGAGTGGTCACCTCAGTTGTCAGGGTATTTGGTGCTTGATTCACAGAGCCAACTGGTATTGGAGGAGGGAGTGTGATACCTGTCACTGTTGTAAGAGCAGCTGATGCTGGGGGAATGAAGTTTATGTTGACTGGGATGGCATTGACAGCAGGAACAACTGGTACAGTAGTTGTGACCTGGGGCTTGGCAATACTGCCTAACATGGCTCTTGCCTTCTTGAATTCATCTAGCCATTCTTCCAATGCAATTCTAAGGGCCTTACGTGGACAATACACATGACTTGGAACTGAACTTGGTTCTACATCCTGCTCATTCTCAGATTCCAACACAGCATCATTAGATTTCTGCACTCCAGAGTCTCCAAGTTCTTCAGTGCAGTGAGACCACTGGCCCAGAGTATGGATCCCAACAAAGTTGCACTCATATTCACAATTTGGGTTGGTCATGACACCCCGCAGATGCGGAATGAGTCCAGGCGAGCGTCCAGAGTACGGACCGAGAAACACACGCTTCTGATCATAGTCATTGGCATGGAGGTTGTCCCATATGACTGGTGGGCGACGCAAGACCTCCGACAGCTGTTGAATTCCAGATATAGATATAACCTTTGAGATGACCTTGGGACCAGTCCACATGATGTCAATGCTGCGTTCTAGCTTGGACCCAATGGTGGTGAGATACTCTGAGTTGGGAACATCAGGAACAGCCCGTGAACTGCAATACTGGGTTGGGCAGAACATGAAGTGCTTGCACCCTGTATGTTGATGAACCTCATTAGTCACTGATACCTGGGCATGTGCAAAGGACTGAAATACCTCCTTGTCTGCTTCACTCATCTCAGGCAAAATGTCATCAAAGAGAAGGGCAAATGCTTCACATCCAAACTCTGCCACTTGATCCAATTTTCTCTTGAGTGTGGCCACTTCCTTTGCTGATGAATATGTGATATCTAGACCAGGTGAAAGTGCATAATAAAACAATACGCCATTCTCCTTGGCAGCTGCTATCAGAGCGGAAAGATGTTCCCCTTCCTCAACTGTGTACACCTCCCGCCAGTACGCCCGATGCTTGTAATCATCCTTTGGAGCATAGAGATATGCATTCATGCCCCATTTTTTCAGTTTAGTAAAGAGATCCTTCCGTTGCTCAGGAGTCCATGGACGGCCATAAAAACCCTCAACAACCCCACAGATGAAAGTGCTCTCTTGCTTTGGACTACTGCCATTTTCCATTTCTAAGGAGATGGTGGAATCACTCATCTTCAATCTGCACAATATCACTGATTACACCATACTGACAGTTCACTTCACTTGCACAATAACTGATGCTGTATAACCATGAAAGTGCAATCAAGTAAGCAGGAATTATAGGTTCATCTCCCACAGCATACATGTAAAAAAAAAAGAACTCCAATTCCAGAAAAGTATAATCCCTTATGAGTCCCACTATGATGTGCAAGATGGATGCAAAAAAGTTGAATTTATAGTTTGGAGGGTGGCTTTCCACTGAACTTTTCCTTCCACCTGAAAACGATGGTATGAGCTTCTCCAAAATAGGGATTCAGGCGGGCCTTCACACGCTCACCCCAGTCATTCAGCTTGGGACGACCCTCATACACATCATAACCAGCAATACCTACAGGAGATTCAACATCATTAGGAAATCAGGAATCCGATAAAACTTGCAGAATTTTAAAGAAAAACTCACTTGGTTGCTCAAGTTCACAAACAGCCAGGAGGTCAGCCAAAGAAATATCGTTGTCTGTGGAGATGAAATGACGATCCTTTAACCACACTGTTTCCAACTCAGTGAGAACCTTTTCCATGCCTTGCTGGAAACGTTGGATGTCTTCCTCATTTGCAGGTTCTCCAGTGATGGTAGGATTTAACCACTGTTATGAGGAGAATTTTCACAATTATCTATTATACTAATTCATTCCAGAAAAGTTGTTGTATAGTAATCCTCGATCTTGTGCAAGATCATTACATTTAAAAAGAAAAAGAAAATTGTGTCACAGCAAAAATGACAATATTTATCATGTAAACATACATTTTCTTCCATGCAAAATTCCTCTGAACATAGTTATTGATCATTTCAGCAATATTTATCCATAAGACTATGCACTGCATGTCCATGATAAAACATTTCAGAAAATTAATGAGGATAAGAAAAGTTGGAGCAATGAAATTTAGCCCATGAAAATATGGAGATCTGAAGGATGGAAGCATCACAGAACAGGCATATCACCTTAGCCTGAAAGAACATGGCACAATTGAGGCGAGTGTTGGCATGCTGCCATGCCATATACTCATCCACACGAGCTTGGGTGCAGCTATTTCTTGGGTACCAATGCTCTGCCACAGGAAACTCCCGACAAAGGTACCGCAGGATGGCCACACTGTTGGCAACAACCAACCAATCCACTACGTCCTCAACACTGTCTTTAAGGTCACAAATTTCAAACTATAATTTTGGCATTACAAGGTATGAGTGATTGCAGATTACAATATAAATTTAACTAACCTTTCAGCAAGACGAAATCCTAGATGTTGGATTGCAGGGACAGTCTGGAATGGGTTAACTTCTTCCTTGTATTGATCTGTTAAATGTTCACCTATAAATGAGTCAAGCAGCAGGGAAATGGATTAATGATCCAGATGCAAGATGAACTTCCCAAAAGATGAGCATCATCATTAAAAAGAAAGAACAAGATCTCATCCCAATCCTTATCCAGGCTGTTCCTCCCTATCCCAGCAAATATCCCCCAATAAGAGTTATGAGGGTGCAGCCAAGCTCTTTTCTGATTTCTTGTGCATGGAATTTCAATTTCAGTCTTCATAATTCTAAAGCAAATTGCCTCCATATTGAATCAACATGACAAAAATAGAGTACAAAGAGAAAAAAAACTTTTTAAAATGATGATGGAAACGAGAACATGATACTCCCTCTTGATACTGCTGGCCCTAGTTAGCAGACAATCTTAGGCCATATGGAAGAAGCAGGAAGAAGAATGAGTAAGATTTTTGGATGGGGACAGAAGAGGTCATCATAATTAATATCCCAAAGGGGTTCACTGGAGAACAATGAAGAAAGCCTTTGTGCCCAGGTCCACATTGGCAACTGCTGAAGAAAGGCTTCGAGCAAGAAGCTCAAAGCAAATGTGAGAAGCATCAGTCACCTTTCCGAAGGGCCACAGGACAAGGAATGTGTGGGATATTGTTCATTCTCAGGAATATCCACACAGCCCGACTGGGCTGAGAGAGGAGATCAAAATAATATTTCAACATCTTCGACACACCTGATAGGCACACCAGGAAAACAGATCACCTAATGGGCATACTTTCAACTCCTACTATTTATCAAGCTTCCCCTTACAACACAAAGGAAATCAGGTGCTGGTTATGGGGTTCTTTAATTGAGTACCAGTGTGTTCACAGAACCTGTTGATGGTCTTACTTGTTAACTGCTATTATGATTCATAGATTTACCAAAGAGCAAAAGATTTTAACAATTTGTTCATTAATCAGGTGAACTTCTTATGGACCACCCTATAGTTTCTATATATTGATTTACCAGATTTCATGGATGGGCTCCAGCATATGATTATGTACCTGGTTCAAGTATATGATTCTTATGTATGTGTATAAGCAAAATAACCTATTAGATGCATAAACTTTTGTCAAACATAGGCATTTTTGTTAACCAATGAAGTCCAAGTACCATTGTAATAACTGAAAATTTTCCATAGACCAAGATAACTGACACTCAATCTCAGCTCTCAATTAAAATATGGCAGAGCTGTGAGGGTAAAGGAAGAGGAATAGCAAGCAAGATAGAAAATGAACAACCATGGTGATCCCTAAGTAAATATCTAGGTGACACCCACATAGAGAAGCAGCAGTGATTGTTAACTTATTTTGTTTGCTTATCAACTTGAACAACTTGATGAATCTAGATTTCTAGTTTTCAGCACAACTTTTCCACAATTTAGAGCTAAAATGTTATATTTGTTAACTTATTCCAGCATGTTTCATTTTCAGTATCATGAGGTGTATTTGTATTTTCAATGTCATTGAGGCAACAGAAGTGCCAATTGTCAACATAGTACAAGCAGTAATTTTTAATACATGAACAAGATTTGTGAGAATGACACATCATATGTGTTTCATACCATATCTTGTCATGTCTCCCATGTGGCACAATATGCAAGCCCCACCATACATAAAATAGACGTACGAAAGCCATATAAATATTTCATCTGTAGCTCAATGTCATTGACATGCATACCAATCATTAAGATAATATAAGGCCTGCCATATATGATCATATACTCATTTTTTCAATATGAAGATATGATCAGATATAATTCCCCATATGTATCCCATATATTATCAAATATGATGGCCCATCAATGTCAAACATATCATATATGCCTATTTATCATGAAATCATACATGATTTTTCCATATGGGCATGCTCTGGGTTTGTCAGAAGGTTTCATCATTGCCTTCATGCAGGTCTCTCCCTCACAAAATGTCATCTCACCTTTGGTAGTGAATATGACGAGCCATGATTGTATTGCATTAGCCTAGGGCCATTATAGGACGGCATCATACAGCAAAATTATCTAACTTTATTTTTTAAATAAGTTCATTTAAGTAGACCACATGCATGACATCATGCATGCTGATATGAAGACAGTTGGCATGCATGTGCACTGTGTTTCATGCTCTTCCTCTGGCAACATTGACTGTGGCACTTCATTTTCAAAACAAATAAGACAGAAAATGGACAATGCAGTAAAGGAACCAAATTGGTTCCCCTGATCCCTGCTGAAGATCCCATCAAGAATTTTTGTTGTTACAATGTTTATTACAAACTCCTTGTAAACCAATACATCAACTTTTAATATTATCTCCTGTGCAATCAATTCACTCCTTGGTGTTCACATTTTTAGGAGTAATGTGATAGGACAAAAAAATAATGGAAACAAAAAAGCAGTCATAAATAACATGGCTGACATGATGTGCTTCTAAACCAGTTTTGCATGTGTATGAAATCTATTCTGTTAGATTTTATTCCTCACTGGGCTATGGGAAAATCAGAGACATTTTCTCCAAAAGTGAACATTTTCAACAGAATTACCATTTGATTCCAGAGGAGAGGAAATCCTGAATTTGTATTTTTTGTCTTTGGTTATCTCAATTTGATGTCTTTCTATGGCAGGGCTTCCCAACCTTTTTCACGTACAATCCCAAAAATCACAATCATACCATTCAGGACCCCAAGCACTGGCCAAAGTTTGACATGTTCACCCACCGATGCACTAAAATAGCAAAGAAAAACATAACCTGGCATTTTGCTGCTGGTTTGGGATCCCAAATATGATCTTGACAACCCCAAATGGGGTCATGACCCAGGGTTGGGAAGCCCTGCTCTACAGGTTTGTATCTCTTCTATTATGCTTTTTATTCATTTCATATTTGACTATGATTTGACATTTCATGGAATGGCTCCCTACATAATTGACAATGAAGGATGACTGTTATAGGGAGGATTACACTTAGACCATATTCAGTCTAGTTGCCGAGAAAAACAGAGAGTTCGCCACTTCTCCATTGGTGATCTCTCTATTACTGCCACATGATTGAGGACTCTTAATGATAAAAGTATTTCACCAATCAACAGGTTTTAGGTGTTCACAATGCCAATATCATCCTGAAAATGTGCCATGTGGGATCCATCTTAATAGATGGGACAGAAAGGGATCAGTTGTGCATATAGAACCTATGTTGCAATATCATGCTCAACTTGCAACCTTATGGATTAAATTAACAACCTAGGCAATTCATACAAGTATTCTTGTGAGGAACTGCATTTCTGATTTCTGAGAAAGATGTGCAAAGGAATCATGGTATCTGTATACTACCTTCACCCAAGAACGAAATACTGGGATCTTGATGAACCATAACCGATCACAGCTGCTGTCATTTGTGAATACAGCAAAATGTAATTTTGTAGCCATAACTGGATTATTGATAAGAGTTCTGCCCAATTCATTTCAGAGTATCATACCAGGTGTCCATTTCCCTTAGATTTTGATAATTCTATTATCTTTTTTATTTCCCTGTGGTTAATATCCATGATTTGATTGAAATGACACATCACTGTTATACCAGCAAAAACTGTAGCCCCCTAAGACATATAAATTTACATGTAGCCCAGGAGAACTTTACTTGTACCATTTAGTATTCCTCCACATCTAAAGTCCTGCAAGATACTCAGGTGACTTCATTCACATAAAACACAGGCAGTTATCCAATAATGGAGTTCCTGATGTGACACCCTTCAAGTTACTTACATCACCCAGGAGAAGACTATCTCCCGGCAGATCTTTGAGTGGCTAGCCTTCTTCTGTTTTGAAGTGCCTTGAGCCACAAACTTTTAAAGCACTCCTCATATGAGAAGAGCACACAAGCTTTTCAGCTGTCAGACTGACTGGACATGAGCTGGCTTTGCATCAGGGATAAAGGCCTTTAAGACCATACCTTTTTCTGCTGCATTCCTCATCTCTGTATATAGTTGTACATCCTCGAATCACAATATAAGAGCCAGAGTGGGAAAGACAGAAGGGGCAGGGGACAAGGACAAGAAGTGATCAAGTCAGTTCCCCAGCCTCTAAAGATCTATTATACTGGATGGTGAAAAAAAAGAGCATTGGAATCTGTGCAGTTCTTAGTAGTGTACAGAGAAATGTTGGCAGGGCCTCAAGATTTATTGCTACCCTTGAGCAGTTTCCTGATCCATATAACCAGTACAAAGGGCCTTTATTATAGGATTGGGACAAAAATTGGGCCAAAAGGGAACAGCTTCACGCTGGTCATTCGCAGTGAAAACTGATAAAAGCCTATTATTGAGAGTCTGAGCCTTTTCCAGGTCAGAACTGGATACTTAGCCTCTATTACTGAATGTGGGAATCATATAAGCATCAAATTTCAGAGACCGAATGTGGTTCCAAAAAGGTTTAGAACTGCCACTAGCTCACCTATTCTCACGTAGAGTTAGCAAGCTAAATATGGGAGTTGGAGACATCCAAGTTTGCTCACTCGTGGTACCCCAGTGAAACTAGTTCTGTATGTACAAACCACCTTATACAGATTGTTTCTCTTCTTAGCATATCCTTGTCATCATTCATGGCATATGTATTCTTGCTCTGGAGGGAATCCCTACCTCCATCCCTTCTGATACAGTAGATTTGAAGAATCCCCTAAAGTTTCCACTAAACTGCTTTGAGAGAACTTGTCATCCATGAGATGATGGAGTCTCTATTAGCATTACTTGGTTGGAGTTGCAAAAATACCATTGTGAAACAGATGAATGTTCCTCGATGGTTTCTTTACATTAACCTTGGATCAACTTTGATATGCTAAAACCAGTGTAGTGGTCACTTATTCCTCAGCTTCCAAAAGTTCTCTCAACAAGTCCAATTGATCACTCTGAAATCTAAGTGGACAAGTTGTTCCATGTGAAAGTCATTAAAAATATACCAGTATACAGCATTAATCTGGGTAAATCTTAGCAATGGTTCTATCATTGTCCAGCCAATCTCCCTTAAGTTGAAATCTCTACCCAGGATTATAGGGGAATTCATTTAGCTATTTGTTATCGACTCAAAGCTTTTGCACAGGTTCATAGTGAAAGTCATAGTCATACCTCCCTGGCCTGGGGGCAGACAAAACAAAAAAAAGGGGGATTTTCTGCAGAAAAGTATTTTTGCCCAGACAGATGTGGAGAGATCTGAACAGCACTGAGTTTAGAGCCTTCCTGATTGATATCAGTACACCTCCATCCACCTCCTGATCCTTAGGCAAGATGCCACTTCCACCGAGTCCTAGTTCTAAGAAGAATCCAAAACATCACTGCATGCAATTAAACTACTGGGATTCAAATCCTATACACGAGCTATGAAAGCTGCCCTCCTTGCTGCTGACTTAAACCTATTGACATACACCAAAAGTAGAGTAGATATAAGGAATTATCAGTTTGTCAGGGTGTGGTCCTGAACAATGTTGGTTTTAGACCAATGTGACATGGTATATAATATCTGCAGGGTGACATTGACCTAATGTACTTTCATGTGCTGAAGAGCCAATGGCTCAAGATGGCAGCCCCACCCTGACTGCACTATATAGATTGATCTCTAATGTCTCATTGAATTATGGATCCACTCTTCAGGTGGAGCATGACAGCAGTCACTTTGACTCAAATAAGATTCCATATTGGCATAGGCCTATGATT